TTTTATACTCTGTGATATATGTCAATGATTGATTAGATCTTTTATTATTCTCAGTCTTAATACAAAATACTCTTTTTTTATTTACAAGCTGCATTGTGATTTTAATTATATATCTTATTCTAAATTGTGATATCTTGTAATAACATGCCTATTTTACATGAATAAATATTATTATTAATTATTATTATGATTATCAAATACCCAACACATCAGTAATACAATGTAATCAATAATAATAGCAGGTTTTCATCGGGCGTCTGATCAGCCAATCAGCATCGATCAATGACATCAGTTTCGAATCAGACTGGAAATTCTCTCTTGGAATTTTGCGGAATAGTAATGTTTCCGATAGATTTAATGATACGAAGCAGCTACGAAGGGTTTCTTAGCACTACGAAGGAACTAGGCATGCTTCTTTTATATTTAAAGGAAAGATATAAGCTAATAATGTCTGAATCGAAGTTGACGCCTCTCGTCATTAAGAATGGCATGGTTGGGCCAAATATATGTATCATTTAACAAAATGATTCGTCGTTAACATTTTCTTACACAGTTGTTTTTAATTTGAACATACAGTGAGGCCTGCGTTAAGGATCGCCTGTCTATGAAGATCACTTGTCGATTACTACAAAAACCAATTCTTTCGGATAAACAAAGTTTTGTTGTAGGTGTACATAAAGCTAATCGACGAAATGAAAATAACAGTTACTGTACATCAACCTTACATACTTCATATTCAGTACGAATAAAGGAAGAATGTGCATACAAATTGTATGCTTCATAAAAAAGAAATATATATATACTAAAACGTATGACTGTATATCTACGTGTACCCTTGGCATCCCTCACATTGTATCATTCCTTCATGAAACACTCAGTGGTCAGCTATGGTAAATACATTGTGTGAATAGGGGATCGTTTATTCTTAATTTGTCCATTTTCATGTGTGTGTGACTAGTTCTGAATAGATGTTGACAATGTAAATTGAACAATTAGCACCTGTGTAATTATACCATCCAATTATAATACATAAAGCGGTCTCATCGAATTATAATACATAAAGCGGTCAAATCCAATTATAATACATAAAGCGGTCACATCCAATTATAATACATAAAGCGGTCACATCCAATTATAATACATAAAGCGGTCACATCCAATTATTATACATAAAACGGTCACATCCAATTATAATACATAAAGCGGTCACATCCAATCATAATACATAAAGCGTATCATCCAATTATAATACATACAGCGGTCACATCAAATTATAATACATACAGCGGTATCATCCAATTATAATACATAAAGCGGTCACATCCAATTATAATACTTAAAGCGGTCACATCCAATTATAATACATAAAACAGTCTCATCCAATTATAATACATACAGCGGTCACATCCAATTATAATACATAAAGCGGTCACATCCAATTATAATACATACAGCGGTCAACTCCAATTATAATACATAAAGCGGTCACATCCAATTATAATACATAAAGCGGTCACATCCAATCATAATACATTAAGCGGTCACATCCAATTATAATACATTAAGCGGTATCATCCAATTATAATACATAAAGCGGTCACATCCAATTATAATACATAAAGCGGTCACATCCAATTATAATACACAAAGCGGTCACATCCAATTATAATACATACAGCGGTCACATCCAATTATAATACATAAAGCGGTCGCATCCAATTATAATACATAAAGCGGTCACATCCAATTATAATACACAAGGCGGTCACATCCAATTATAATACATACAGCGGTCACATCCAATTATAATACATAAAGCTGTCACATCCAATTATAATACATAAAGCGGTCGCATCCAATTATAATACATAAAGAGGTCACATCCAATTATAATACATAAAGCGGTCACATCCAATTATAAAACATAAAGCAGTCACATCCAATTATAATACATAAAGCGGCCACATCCAATTATATACATAAAACGGTCACATCCAATTATAATACATAAAGCGGCCACATGCATTAAATACATGCATTATCACATTTCTATGTTGTTTTTTAAGCTTTAAACTCCTTTTATAGGTACAATTACAAGTGCAGCACTTAGTAAGATATTTTTTAGATTTTATATTTGTAACGCAGCCGGTATACGCATTTGTTCCTATCGGTATAATGGGTGTCAAACACCCTTTAGTTTGATAATAGATGATACTTTGTCGTGTAATGACCCTGAATGACATTTTCGGTCAATCGACCGTTTAGAATGTTCATGATTTGGCTGATGCGATATTTCTCCTGTGTATTTGGTTGAACGTTACCTCCTACTTGATATAATTCTTTATAAAAGTTATATTCACCCACAAAAGTTATGTGTTCATATTGGGGACAAAGTATATATGCAGTTGTAAACATCATAATGAATGTTTAGAAAATGGTTCGATATCAAACATATATTTAGATTTTTCCACCTTTATCTTATCGAAATATTGTTGAGGTTATATCTTGAATAAGACCTCATATTGTGTAAAACAAATAGTATTTAGAAATCCCTATAGGTACATATTTTACCGTGTCAACATGATAATTAGGCCTGTCCTGTATCACGTGATGTCACGTAAAGAAAGACATTTAAGCAAACTTTGTCATGTACAAAATGTATCATTATTCTTACTTAGTACATAACACTTCAAAGCGTACAAATTTTAAGTCATAAATGAACGAATTGCTAATAAGGTGCAAATCATATTTATTTTCCTTGATTTTTGCACTAAATTACGATTTGTATTTTTTTTATTTACTTTCTATTTGTTTTATAAAAAGATATTACTTGGAATATATTTAAACGATTTGTATTTTAGAAATACATTTACTTATTACATTCAGCAATTAATAATCATTAAACATTATGTTCTGTCTTTTTTTCAAAATAATAACTTTTCCGTTTTTAAAGAGAAAGGTTCTACAAAAAAGAACTTACGTGGCTCCGTTTCTTAAAACTATAATCTTGATAGCCAGCTTATACAAAAATTGATAACTGATACTTTGAACTCTATTCGTTAGCCTGATTTTTGCATATCAATATCATCATGTTGATCACTCAAAAATATATTAAAAAGAATTTCAAAAACTCGTGATCGTTGATTCGAATTATTCATTTAACTCCTGTTAACAAAAAACGGTAAAAAAGAAAATATATTCAAGTAAGATACACGTGATTAATAATGGTCATTCTGTTAGTAGATCTATGTAAAAAGTACCAGTGATATGCCCTTGTCACAAGTACAGTCGTATATATAATGTTGACCAATCAACACATGCCATATTCTTCTTATCATATTTTAGATAAGTAAAGCTATGAAATAGATCTACGTCTGTTGAAACGTCCTTGAATGACCTAAGCTGTTGACAGGACATTAAACTCTGAACAACAAACCAACAAAAGTCTGTTGAAACCCCCAGATAATACCTGTCGACAGTGCTAGTGTTGGAACCCCCCAGATAATACCTATCGACAGTGCTAGTGTTGGAACCCCCCAGATAATACCTGTTGACAGAACTAGTGTTGAAACCCCCCAGATAATACCTGTTGACAGTACTAGTGTTGGAACCCCCCAGATAATACCTGTTGATAGTACTAGCGTTGGAACCCCCAGATAATACCTGTTGACAGTACTAGTGTTGGAACCCCCCCAGATAATACCTGTTGATAGTACTAGCGTTGGAACCCCCCCAGATAATACCTGTTGACAGTATTAGTGCTGAAACCCCCCCAGATAATACCTGTTGACAGTACTAGTGTTGGACCCCCCAGATAATACCTGTCGACAGTACTAGTGTTGGAACCCCCAGATAAAACCTGTCGACAGTACTAGTGTTGGAACCCCCCAGATAATACCTGTCGACAGTGCTAGTGTTGGAACCCCCAGCTAATACATGTTGACAGTACTAGTGTTGAAACCCCCCAGATAATACCTGCTGACAGTACTAGTGTTGAAACCCCCCAGATAATACCTGTTGACAGTACTAGTGTTGGAACCCCCAAGATAATACCTGTTGACAGTACTAGTGTTGAAACCCCCCAGATAATACCTGCTGACAGTACTAGTGTTGAAACCTCCCAGATAATACCTGTTGACAGTACTAGTGTTGGAACCCCCCCCCCCCAGATAATACCTGTTGACAGTACTGGTGTTGGAACCCCCAAGATAATACCTGTTGACAGTACTAGCGTTGGAACCCCCCCAGATAATCCCTGTTGACAGTACTAGTGTTGGAACCCCCCAGATAATACCTGTTGACAGTACTAGCGTTGGAACCCCCCCAGATAATACCTGTTGACAGTACTAGTGTTGAAACCCCCCAGATAATACCTGTTGACAGTACTAGTGTTGAAACCCCCCAGATAATACCTGTTGACAGTACTAGTGTTGGAACCCCCCAGATAATACATGTTGACAGTACTAGTGTTGGAACCCCCCCAGATAATACCTGTCGACAGTACTAGTGTTGGAACCCCCCAGATAATACCTGTCGTTAATACTAGTGTTGGAACAAAACAGCGCTTCAATTATGTTGCCTTTCCATTATTCTGAGAAAGTGCACAACACTTCCGAAAACAGTGTTTAATTGCATCTACAACTTGTTACCTAAATCAATTGAATAGATAACCAAATGTTCTTGTTAAAAAGGCGAAGAAGTTCTTTTAGAAATAACTTCAGCAGGTATAAGAAAAGTCTGACATGGACTTGTACTGGCGTTACGTTAATTTTCTATCAAATAAACATGATCTGAATAGCAAGGCTGGCAATCGAACTACACATCCCTGGCGTCATTCCACTTTATAAAAATACCTTAATCAGTTACATTTGCCCCGCCCGTTGAGTCACTCAGGGAATCAAAAATTATCACATGGCACGAAAGTCAGTTGGGAACAACAGTCAATGTAAATGATAAATGTATTATCTTTGAAACCACAATCTCATAATATAAGACAACGATATTGGCTTAAGTATTTTATTGAAGTCGCAGAGTTTAATCATACATAATACAAACATAAAGCACAAGTTAAATGATTAATAATATTCGATAAAATAAGTAAGAGAAAATGTTACATCTGTACGGTTTTTAATTCTTCTTCCTCTGATGTCCATTCACATTTTCAATTAATCTTAAAACTAGTCTCTGTGGACTCACGCAAACATGGAACTATATGTGTTTACACCAGTTTCGAAAATAAAATGACTGAACCGAAGCGATGAAAGATGTCTTGGAACTAAACACTGCGGAATGCAATTTCACATCTTTATTTCTTCATAGCACAGGCCGCACAAGTTGATCCTGAAATATAAACATAGATATGAAATAACATTTCCTTTACTCTGCACCGCTGACTATGCTTTATTGTACATAACTTTTTATGAAATGAGAAATATATGGGAGAAAGCATGGACGCAAGACATATTATTATGCTACCTTACAAGAGATTTAATATGGAGTTATCACTTAAAAATGTTTTATTATTATTATGAAAAAAAATCTTCTATCAATATATGAGGTCACGAAATACATTATTTGTTCATCTTAAAGGTTTCATTATGGTCATTACAGAATAGCAAAATAATCTAACGAAATTGCTTTGTTTGTTTAAGTGGTACAATTATAAGTGATATTAAGGATGTACACCTCTGAGAAGTCAAAAATTTCCTGTATTCAATTTTTTTCCTTATACGGATTTTTGGAAAAAGGATTTAATGGCATAGTAGAAAATGCAAAAAACTATATGTCCGTGTATTCGTTTTTGTATTATGATCGGTCAAAGATAACAATTTAACAAAACATGTGATTTTAGGTGATTTTTTGGGTTTTGACCATTTGCAGAACAAATTCATACAATTTTTTCCAAGTGTGTTATCAGATATGTATGAATGTTTGTAGAATTGATGAAAATATTATTTTCCCTTGAATTATGGATGTAAAATTTCTAAATCTTATTCTTTTAACTCAGAAAGCCGATTTAAGTTACCCCTACCCCATATTTTTTAATGAAAAAAACCTCATTTTTTAATGACAAAATACTCATTTTTTACCATTTTTTGCAGATTAAACGCTTGATATGAAAAATTCTGGTATTAAACTTATTTTAATATTTAATGAATTAAATGAAAATGTGTTTCTCTTTCTAAAACATCTACAAAAATGGGGGGTCAGTGTGCTGCTTTTTTTTGCCCCAATATTATTTGTGTAATTGTTACCTTTTTCGGGGTCAAAAATCTAAAGTGCTCCAGTTACACTAAATATGTAAAATAAATATCAATAATGTATATAATTTTCCTGTTTGTTGCCAATTATTTTTATCATATTGAACGTTATCAAAATGTAGAGCAAAATTGAACCTGCTACAATTAAAAATGGCGACACAATGACAATTTAAGAGATCAATTTTGTGTCAAAAAAGGTGAAATTTTGGCCTTTTTTGAAGTGCAAGAAATACACATTAATACACATTTTCAAAATGGCCGCCGAATTGGTATTTTTTTTAAATTCTTGTAAAAAAAGTTCTACAAACAACAGGCATCTAGTTTTTTGACATATTTTTCAGATGCGTGTTTGCTAATAAACTTGATCATAATTTATCAAATATTACAAAAACCCATTACACCAGATCAAAACGAGACTTGAACGTGATTGAAACCTCAGAAGAGTACATCCTTAAAGTGGATTTTCTATGTTTCAACTCCCCTTAATTGACGGTGGGGGAATCAACGCCCGCCCATGACCAAATAATAGTACGAACTTTAGAAGTGTCTTAAACACACAATTATATAAAATATTTACCTCCAGTTTTTTTCATCTCGGCCTCAAGTTCATTAGCGATCCTTCGTACCTTTTTTGCAGATTTGTTTATGGATCCATTGTTTACTTTGATTGACGTTTCCACCAAATCATTAATGTCTACTGGCAAAAAGGCAACTGCGGAAACCGCTTTTGCCGCGGCCTCTACGATATTCCTCCCAATATCCACATCTTTTTTACCTGTTTCACCTATAGTAAAAGCTGCCATATTTAAATTTTCACTTTCTTTACGATCCTCGTCAAGAGCTTTTTGAACATCTTTGATCAAACCACTTTCATGAAAATGTTTCCCAATCAAAGCTCCTATGTTTACGGCACCGCCTGCAGCTCCGAGGGTGGCAAATCCTGCTATACCAAGAGTAGACAAACCGCCCGTGAACGGGGCTGCTATTATACAGCCAAGAGTACCGAGTCCTCCTGCGATAGCTGCTGATGTTCCAGTCACTTTCGAAATATTCACGTCATTTTCCATTTCATCTAGTCCATCTGCAAGTTGTCGCAACAAAGCAATTGTTTTCGTTCGTTTCCCCTCCCAAGTTGTGACATGAGAACACGACATCTTTGCTAGTTAAGGTATAGACAACTTTTAATAAGAATTATGCGTGGAGTGTCTTTAAATAACATAGGATGTTATTGTTTCGTCATGCATACCTGATTACCTTTTTAAATGCTGATGAGATGTTCTTTGTGTGCATGCAACAGCATGATTCGTTAAAATATCACGGTCCAACGTAACATAAGCGGTGACAACGATCGTGAAAGTAGAAATTTTGTTTGCCTGTGATAGGACAACAGCATTTTGCAAGGAATATCCTACATGTACCTCTTTCTAGCGGACCAATCAGTTTATAGTCTTAAAAAGATAGGTTAATTCCAGCATTATCTAGTGAACATAGCGACCATAGATATTTTTAGTAAGTCCGTTATTGAATTCCGAATCCAATAGACATGATATAGCCAGGAAAAATAGAAAATAAAAGTTAAGCTTTCTTTTCTTGTATGAAACAGTATTGGAAAGTAAAACACCCAATTACATGAATTTCAAATATTTGTGAATAAAATGTGTAATTAATGAATCCTACCACTTTTCAAAACAGATACATTTGGCCATCAAGATTACGGCAGACGTCGGGGACAAGAGCAGTGTAATGTATTGTGTCAAATAATACTGTTTATAAAGTCAGCCCGTCAGGTTTTTTTATCGAGGCATTACTCATTTTAAAATTGAAACAGATTTTATGAAAAAGTGTTTTGTCCTTGCGCTATTAGGTTTCAGGATGTATCAACTATTTAGATACAAATTTAGACGTGCAGAGATGCATTTTAAAGTGATAACGATTCCTTTGATACAAGTGTACACATTAGGTGGGCGATGTGCCAAGGAATCAAACATGTTGTAATTTGCCTCATTATGACGAGATAAATACGCTGCATTGACCAGATTGCCTAAGTCATACAGAACATAATAAAGAAAACTGAAATCCAATTTTCTTATGTAATTTTTGAATTGCACAAATAGGTCTAATTCATAATCATTTTAACAGATTTATCATGGAACTTGATCAAAAGTAACTCTTACAGATTTTTTAGAAAATATTTTACTGTATTTAAAGTTTATATTTTACAAACAGCCATTCTGCAGTGATGTATACGCTGCACTTGTTACATCGTAATACAAAATATGAAATTGATGTTACTTCATGTTTTATCCTTTGTGTGATGACAGTAGTGTAATGTATAATTTTATGTTGTCAGTAGACACACGAGGGATGATACAGCTGTTATGAATCACACTGATATCAGTATATAAACACAATTGATGTTGTTCAAGTATGTAGTTATTTCATTTTCTAAGCACAGGACGCAATATCCAATGATCGAGTTAACGCGACACACAAATAATCAATTTATGTGCTTCAGTACTTTTCTTTCTATTAAAAAATACACGATTTCCGAAAGCCTACACTATCTTAAATTAGTCAGCTTAACGAATTTTAACATTCAGTCACATGCACTTCGAAATTTGTCCTAGATGTGTTTTTAACTCCCGGGGTTTCAGATAAAAACTAGTCATTCACAGGTTTCCAGTGGCAATTGGACCAATAAGTACGATTTGATAACATGTTACTTTCAAGTGGTCACTACCGAACCAACAAAAAATATGGAAGTGCTTATTGTTTCTTATTTGTTTCCAAAACATATTTATTTCATCCCTCTTAACCGTTTCTTTGACATTGTACTGCTGTTACATATCTTTTTCAGCTATTAGCAATGTGGCTATATCGTGTTTAGAGGTTAGTGTTTCATCACGTTTTTGCAACGATACCTCACAAAACATACGCTTTACAATCGAGCTTGTCCTGAAAGCAGTGTAGAACAAAACACTGGGAACAAAGGCTTAAATCATAGGTAGCAAATTGACATTGTAAATGTTTACGTGTGTAATGAATAATGTAGAATACAAATGTATATCTCCTACTGAACTCATGTCCACTACAGGCAAAACCTTACATAACCAATCAGTGTTTTTGTTTGCTTGCATATACGGTAACCCGCCTTCATTTCGTTTTGATATAAATGTAGCATATTTGGGCCGTTTGCCAGGTATCTCGATTGGTGAGAGCGACATTAAAACAATTGGAAGTGCAGGGTTCGAATCCTGGGCTGGTCCAGCTGCATTATTTATTTATTGATATCTTTATTATTTTGTCATAAAAGTCACGCAAAGTATAGTTTTCTTTTCAGAAATTGATTTATCAAAGGCATAGTCATACCAGGAAAACCACTTTCCAATGCATTGTTGCAGTTCTCGGGAGTGGTACTGGGACCTTTGTCACTGATAGTTTGGTTTAAACAGTATTTATTCAAGTAATGAAATAGATGGCATGACATATAAGCAACCATGATGATGAAACAAGTAATGTGTACTTGCATTAATCCTTCTCGTCTTTCTAACAAACTATTGGCCTTATAGATTACTAACAATAGAAAATTCTACAGGAGCATGTAAACACATGAAAAAAAATAAAAGTATGTGGTAAGGGACATGCAACTAAAGATAAATTGATATTCCATGAAATGGTAAGTAATTGTATCATTATGACAGCATTTGTGAGGTTTTCACAATTTCATTTCATTAACATTTTCATACTTGTATGCTTAACCAAACCGTTTTAACTGGACAATAGAGTTTTAAACTTTTTCGAATATTTCTATATTTTAAACTGTTGAGAGGTTAGAGTCTCCATATAGCAATGCATTAGTAGAGAGTTGGTAAGAAAGACGATGAAGGCATTTAGGTCTGAAAGTTTCATACTTGCGACAATGTTTTAGGAAATGTTCGTTTGTTTCGAAGGCAGCAAAGTAAAAACAGATAGGACTATCTGCAAGATTTTTCTTGAAGAGATAATAATTCAAAGAACTCTATTCCATGCGTAGAATGGCATGGTGGATCTGACCATACGGGAACTGTTATTGTAATAGGAAGGAATATTATCAACATTTCCGTTTAAATAGATCTTAAGTCTAGAAATAGACGGATCAATTTTAACTGTTTCTGGCATTTGATTCCATAATTCAGTGTTTGAAGGGAGAAACGTCTTTTGATATCTAGATGTTTTACAGCGTATGTGTCGAATATTGTTTTGATGTCTTGTTCTGTAATCGTCAATGTGGAGTGTGTTGGATGTATAATGTTTCTAAGATATGTTGGGGGTCATGCGATGTATAACTTTATGGTTGTCACGTCTAGTTTTGTCGGGTTTCCAGACAGTTTTCTTCTTTAACTAAGAATGCTAGTAAGTTTTGTTCCACCAGTAACTATACGTGAGGCTTTTACTTGTAAACTTTAAACTAGCATTTGGTACTAAGCAACTGTTATGTTATCCCAAACTAAATCCCCATATTCCAAAATTAGCCTGATGATTTTTGGAGTGATTATGTGTCGATTTAAAATTTAAATTTATGCAGAATATTTAATTTCCCTGATACTTTAATTAATTATATGATTTATGTACTCAGCCAAGTTTCCGTTCCCAGAGAAAAACATACCTAAGTATTTGTGAATGTCAAATTCCCTTAAGATAATACCATTCATAAGTAAGGAAGTGTGAGCTGGTTTGTGTGGTTGTTTTTACTGAATTTCATAGTCTCGGTTTTTTAAGGGTTAAACTTAATGAGCCATTTTTCGGACCACTTTTGGATTTTATTAAGATCTGTCTTTAAATATCAGCCGGTGTATTAGGTACATCAGCAATTGAATATAACGACGTGTCATCAGCAAATAGTTTGATCATAGCAGAAATATCATTGATGATATCATTAATGAAAGCTAAGGTAGGAAATGTTAAGGCCGAAGGATAGAACCTTGAGGCACCAGCAGTTACAGCAGTCCAATCTGAAATTTTGCCATTGATCACAACTCTTTGATTACGATTACATAAATAATTAGTAAGCCAATATATCAATAAACCACATATTTCAAAACTAGATATTTTTGCAAGAAACCCACGATGCAAAAACTCGATCAAACTCTTTGCTGATGTCACAAAATGCCATTCCAATTTCATTACCGTTGTCTAATGCCTTGTTAATACCATTGGATATTTCTAAAAGCTGAAAAATAGTCAAATATACCTTTCGAAAACCTGATTGCCTAGAAGATAGTAAAGAGTGATCTCAAAGATAATTATGTATATTTTTGTAAACACACTTTTCCACTATTTTCCCTACTTTAGATAAAAGAGAAATTGGCCGATAATGAGCTACTAAAGAACTGTCATGAAAATGGAGGAAACATTTGCCTTCTTCCATTCCTGAGGAAAAACGCACTCAGACAATGATTTGTTAAAAAATACAGATAAAGGAATACTAAAGATTGTTATAGCTTCCTTCAATAGACGTGGGTTAATCAGGTCTGGGCCTTTGACGTCGTCTGAAGAGACAACTATGTCGGAGAGTCTAAAAGCATGATTCCGTTGAAGTTAGGGAACTTCTATACCGTCATCATCAATACTTGACTGTAAACAAAAATATTTATTAAAACATTGGCTTTAGCCTTGTCATCAGTAAATAAATGATTATTGTGATTTATGGAAGGGATATTGTACTTTTTATCAGAATTACTCATAACACGATTTATAGTTTCCACCAATCTCTAGCACTAAATGTATTACTTTTATGGAGATTATTACATAGTTTATTAACAAAATCAGTTTTTGATTGGCGAATAGTATTAACATATATGCTACGTAAATGACTAAATTTTGCCTAATGCTCTTCTTCCGTAGTATTTTTGGCTTTTCGATGATATTTCATACGCACCTTGGCAGTTGTGGAATGTATTTTCGAAAGGCGGACTGGCTATTTCTGAAATCGGGTCTGGCGCAAAACTTAAGACATAGTTGAGACACTTTTATTCACTATTGTTACAAACGTGTGTCCGGGTCAAAACGCCCTTGCTGTGTCACATACATTCATCAGTAGTATCTACATGATTTTTAGGTGTCATAGAAAATCCTGTTGGCTCCTTCAACGTGTACAATTACTCGTCCTATCTGCCTGTCAATCTTTTGTGCACACCAGGAAGTCTATGTATACGTTAAGAGGAGTTGCGATTACTGCAATTGGATCCGGCGCCAAACTCTAGACACTATTGTTACAAATGTGTGTCCGGGTCATAACGCCCTCGTTGTTTCACATACATTCAACTAACGTGCAATATTCAATGTGTATTTGGGAGGTAGCGTAGTGTCTCGTACTGTAATAATGTATTGTGTCCCACAACATACATCGTTTTGGCTCTTTTGTTTC